TGCTTTGACCAACGGAGTGTGGTAAATGTGATGTTGCATGAATTACAAAATTTAAGCATAGTTTGCTTTGCAGCTTCTGCCTTCGTCTTCTTGTAATGTTTCCTACCACCCTGTTTGGAAGCTTGGACAAAACTACTGAATGATAAAAGACGCCTTGGAGAGAGAGGCCCAGCTAATATCCAGCATTAAGTCCCTAGATATGTGAAGGAGGCCATCTTAAAACCTCCAACCCCAGACCAACTGCGAGATAACTGATGCCTCATGGGAAAGCCCAGGTGAGACTGCAGAAGGCCTCCCCAGCAGAGCTTAGCCCTAATTGCAGACTTATGAGCAAGTAAAATGCTATTGATTTAAGCTACTTTGTTATATAGCAATGGATAACTGATGTAGAGTACTCTTTATGATCATAGTTCATCAGTGGCCCTTTCACTGACTCTCTGCATAATTTGATGTAAAGATATAAAATATAAAGAGAGCACATTTTCTGTTGTGTTGATGCTTCTTTTTAAGAAGCTGACCTATAAGAGATTGAACTATTAGTGATTTACTTCATCCTAGCTCCACTAGCATTTTTAGTTGATCCTCTCTCTCTTGTTGCTGTTATAACATCCTCTTCATCTCTCCACATCACACACATAAAAAGAACTAACTAACTGTTGATAGACCATCTGTATATCCTATTACCTCTAATTTAGTTATCCTTTTTAATGGGACATGAATCACATTCTAGTGCCACAATGGAGGCCTGTTTTTCTTCCTCTTTCTCTCCCTCTCTTCCTTCCTATGGAGAAAATAAGCATTATTATCACTTGTTTGAAGGTATATACTTTTATTCTTATGGAGTTTCTTCCTTCACAAATAATGAAAACAAGCAGGTAATAACATAAAAATCTGTAATTTTCAAAAAAATCCATAGTCTCCCTTCCTCCTTCCTCTCTAGTGACCCATTAAGAGCATTTTCCTTTTCTTGTTGTGACCCGATTTCTGTGGTCCTAGGAAACAATTCCCTTGGCTAAACGCACTCAGGATGGCAATCTCAGGTCTCTACAGCAGCATTTAAGTAGCTTTTTAGTGCTGCTAATTAGCTTCTTTTCCTGCTATGGAGGTGTTATGTATGGCACTTTTTTCCCAGGCATTGATAACATTTCAATGACAGAGCTCTGTATTCTGTGGTTCTCTAACTCACGATCATTTGGATGTTGGTCCAGGTAGGTTAAATGAATGGAAATGGTCTTTGATGCAGATCAGAACTTCAAGTGGAGACTTACACGGGGCTGGGGGGGGGGGGGGGTGCGGGGGGGGCGGTGTGGAATCTAATTAACCAGAAGAAATGACTCAATTCTGTTATCCAACAGGGAGATTGCAACAGATAAAATCACAACCAAAATACAGAAGACAGTAAGATGAGTGAAGTCAAATCATGACTTCATGTTCCATATTGGAGAAGTTATTCTGGTGACTTTTGCACAGACGGCTTAAGCATTGATCTCCAGGCAAAGAATAAAGTAGGAGCAGAAGATCTGAGTCCAATGGGAGTAAAACATAAGGAATTTTGGGCAGTGCTGAAGAAAGTAGCTTTGATATCTTAAGATTTCCTGGGCCACAGACCAGAGGCAAATGTTAGACCACCACAGTAACAAAAGTGTGGTGTAGTGGAAATAACCTAGATTTCCTGGAAGCCAAGGGTCAAATATATTAATTCTAAATTTGCTAGCAACCTGTTCCTTAGCTTCAGCAAAGTTGTTTATCCTCTCTGTACCTTGATCTCCTTAACTCCAAAAGAAGAGGATTTTACAGTCAGTAGCAAATTTTCGTTCAAGTCCTGGCAAAACAACCTTCTACAAGGCTTGCTTCATTGATAGCAGTAACCACCATTTTGGGCACAAGTAGCTCCAGTGCCCATTCTTGTACATCTTTTTGTAATTCTGAATAGTGTCATGGGCTCCTTCTACCCATCTCAAGAAGAGTCAACTAGTGGAGAAACCTCTAGGATGATCCGATTGAGATTTTTTGCCAACTTTATTATTTCCCAGTAATTCTAATTTAAACTAAACCTTGTTAGTAATTTGAGATTAAGGTTAGGAAAGAGAGGAGTACAAATCTTTATCTGAGTGACTCCAAATAATGATCTACTTTAAAAAATACTTCGGAGTTGTCAGCCTTGCTTGAATTGGTGGTAAGTCCATAGTATTTATACTTTGTTTCCTATTGTGTAGCCAGCACAAGGATCAACAGACCTGAGCAGGGAAGAGAGTCAACTGGTCACTAGATGATCTCTAAGGAACCTCTGATTTCTTCTATTTTAGTGGAGAGTGTGAGCGGAAGTGAGTGCTCTGTGTGAAAGAAAATCATGGGATTCAGGACACTACAAAGGCACACTGGGCTTCAGTTGCTGATCGCTATTGATAAGCTGCTTTCCTTTTGCAGAAGTGAGTTAAGCGGACAGCTTCACCCTGTCTTCACTGGGAAGATCAGATTTAAACTATTATTCTGCCCTTGTTTAAAAGGGAAGATATTTGGTAGAGACACATACAAAGTATGGCACCTAGAGACCTCAAGTTTTCAGTGTAGACAGAAGATGGAAGACTGCTAGGAAGCAGTGCCACCAATGAATGCATAACCCTCTTCTCCAACTTATTACCAATACTAGGAATTATCTAAATTTTAATCTTTGCTAATTTGATATTTAAAAATATGATCCATTTTTTGTAAGATAAATAAAGTCTTATGTAAAAATTAAAAAGTGTTTGGACATGATTGGGAATTGGAAGAATTGGTAGAATAACTTTCAGGTTTCAGGTGAGTAATTTAGAATTCAATTATTTGCTTGATGCATTGCATCATTGGGGAGGTTACTGATGATAATCCCTGTGAAAAGAACCAAACTGATTCCAAACTAAATTACTTTTATGAATATGAATATCATTTATATCATTATCAAGAAAATGTATAAGAAAGACATTTTAAAATCATATTTAAATGACTTTAAGTGATAGAAAATTAAAATAGTGGTCTTTGTTAGACCACTAATATAACACTATTATTATTAGTGTTTTGGGTTTTGTTACTACAATTTAGGAAAAATGTATCTTTACCTAACGCATGTAAAAGTAAAAGTATAAAGAGGATGTCATGGAGGGAGCTTTGCAGAGTGGGCTGTTGGAGAATGGGAAGAATCAGAGAAACGTAATGAAGGCAAGGGCATTGCAGGCCGAGTGAAGAATGTGGAGGGAAGCCAAACCGTGAGCTGGGATATTTGAGTGTGTGTCTGAGGGAGGGTAGCTACCGCTTGAGTATGCCTCCAGGGAAGAGGAAGTAGTTTAGCTTAGGCTGCGGGGTATGGGGAGGAGTGGAGTAACACGGTTAATTCTGAATATCTTAGGAGTAGCTTTGATCCTTGTTTTAATTTTGAAACACAACACATTATGATTCTATCTTTGGAAGCTTTAAATCTCTGAGGATAAAAATTGTGTAAATTTTCCACATTCACATACAATGACCTTCTTGTAAAAGTGAAATAAATATATGTTTACTGCAAAAATTTAAGATAGTAGGTAAGAGCACAAAGTGAAAAGTGAAAGATCCCTTCTCCTGCATCATTTTATCAAGTCCACTTCTTAGAGACAATTATTGTTAACAGGTTTTTGGTGTGTATCCACCTAGGCATTTTCTATCCAGTTATTGTTTCATTATGTCATTTTACATACGTAATTTATTTATATAATTTTTTAAAAGCCCGATGGGATAAGATGAATGCAAAGTGCTCCCTCCCCCTTCTTACTATCTACCCTATGTATGTATATTTAGGTCTACCTTAGCATTTTAAATGGCTTCATAGTATTCCATGGGAAGGATCTAAGAGAAATTGTTTAACTAGTCTCCTATTTCTACACATTTAAGATTTCTTCATATTTTTGCTCTTAGAGGCAACAATGCTTCACTAAACATCTCTGTATCTTTTCTTTGTCTGCTTTGTTCCTATGCACACATACATATATCCAGAGATTTTTTTCTAGAAGTAGAATAGATGAATCAAAGTGTATGAGCAAATAAAATTGGAAGGTATTGCCAAGTTGGTAAATGTTTTACCAGCTTACTCTCCCACCACCAGTTAAGAGACTACCTGTTTCCATCTTTCCCCTCAAGCCCTGAATTTTGTCAAATGTGTACGTCTCTGCCAATCTCATAAGACAAAACTAGTGTCTTGCTATTTTAGTATGCATTTATTTAATCGTGAATGAGGCTAAGTATTTTTATATGTAAGTAAACAGAGCCATGTGTAAAGCCTCTGATATTTTCACTCTTACTCTTTCACTTCTGCTTGGGATTTGTGACTCATCGTTGTCATTCTGGTTCCACATTCTTTCCTCTCTGAACCCCTAGTCAGAATCTCCTCCACAGAGCACATAATTGGGTCACTTTCTCTCACTTATCCTCCCCTTCTGGGATGGTGAGTGCCTTATTCTGACATAGTCTATGCCTACCTTTCCCTCACTCTTCTAAATAACTCATCTTGTCTTCCTAATTTACAGGGAAGAGAAATTTACATCTCAGGTCTTAAAAAATGCTCAAAAGGATTTTGAAAGAATTTGCCAATGTGATCATAGCTATGGTATCAATATACTGAGAGATGTCCAAATTTGGAAATCTACTCAATTAATTATTTCACATAGTTACTTATAAAATCCTTTTACTTTATAGTCATATATGAGATATGACTATGAAACAATGACAGTTAAAAACACAACAGAACTACCCATTCGAACAAGTAAAAGGATCCTTATTCTATGTAACATATTTTGGTAATGAAATATACGACAGAGGAATATATGTATATTGCTTTGTGATTAAAATGGTCTCCAAAAGCGTACATCGGCCTTTGCCTAGTTTTCTGACAACTGTTGAACTTCCCAAGATTAAGATTGGTGCCATTTCTTTTACATCAGCTTCTCCTTACTCTGTTCTTTCAGGTGGCATGAGAGTCACTGCTGGCAGAGGTAATGGATGAAGCCAATCTCTCTGTTGTGTCTGAGTTTGTGTTCGTGGGACTCTCCAACTCCTGGGAGATCCAGCTCTTCCTCTTCCTCTTTTCCTCTGTGTTCTATGTGGCAAGCCTGATGGGAAACCTCCTCATTGTGCTAACTGTGACCTCCGACCCTCATTTACAGACCCCCATGTACTTCCTGCTGGCCAACCTTTCCATCATGGATTTGATATTTTGCTCTTCCACGCCTCCCAAGATGATTTATGATCTTTTAAGGAAGCACAAAACCATCTCTTTTTGGGGCTGTATAGTTCAGATATTCTTTACCCACACAAGTGGGGGCACTGAGATAGTGCTGCTCATCACCATGGCCTTTGACAGATACATTGCCATATGTAAGCCTCTTCACTACCTGACCATCATGAGCCCACGAAGGTGCATTATATTTTTAGTCACTTCCTGGGTTATTGGTCTTATTCATTCAGTGACTCAATTGGTTTTTGTTGTAGACTTGCCTTTCTGTGGCCCTAATGAACTAGACAGCTTTGTTTGTGACCTTCCTCGATTTGTGAAACTTGCTTGCACAGAAACATACACACTGGAATTCATGGTTACTGCCAATAGTGGCCTTATTTCTGTGGCCTCCTTTTTAATTCTGATCATCTCTTATATCTTTATTTTGGCTACTGTTCAGAAAAAATCTTCAGGTGGTATATCCAAAGCCCTCTCCACTCTGTCAGCTCATGTCACTGTGGTTGTTTTGTTCTTTGGGCCATTAATCTTTTTCTATGTGTGGCCATTTCCCACATCACATTTGGATAAATTCCTTGCCATCTTTAATTCAGTTATCACTCCTTTTCTAAATCCAGTCATCTACACTTTTAGGAATAAAGAGATGAAAGTGGCAATGAGAAAACTATGCACTCAGGTCATCAATTACAGTAAAATCTCTTAGATATACAGAGGATGTATAAAAAAGAAAAAGTATACCAGAATTTCAGATGGATATGTACTGAATAAGGTAGTTAAATTTAACCAGAATGTCACTATATACTAATATTTGTTGTATCCTATTTTTTTTCCCTCTTCTAATTGAATTGTGATATCAATCTCTGGACTCTGCTTATAGAAGAGACTTAAAGACTAAAGGTCGTGGCTTTCTTATCTCACCAGTGGTCTTACATCAATACAGTGCCAAATAGAACTGGTATAAATGTTAAACGACCCCTTTTGAATATCAATATGTGCCTTATTATCTATTTTCTATTTTTCCTATGTTGAATAAACTATCTTACTTTAAAAATAGTGTTAAATTTTATTTCATCTGATTTGTCTTACCATACAGCTGATTTGTTTTCTATCTTTTCAGCTCATTATCTGTTAGCTTCCCTCATTGTTTTATTCCTAATCTGGCTTTTTCAGGGGCCAGTAAGGAGACAGAAACCATACAGTTTTTCTGAACAGAGAAAATTTGATATAAAGAATTGTTAACTAAATATAAAGTTGTTAACTAGTTATTTAAAAAAAGAACAAACTCTAAGATGTCACAGACATAGCATTTTAGGAAGCAGCTTTCACCCTTAGAGATGGAAAATAAAGAAAGAAGTTAGACTTACTACAACTTTAAACAAAAAAATTTTTCAAAGCTTGAGGGAAGGACCTGTGGACTTGAATCTCAAATATTTGAGGAGGGGATGCTGCTTGGCTGGTGCTAGACTCTCTGAGCTTAGAGGAGGGCCTGTGGGGCGGGGACACAACCCCTGAGGAAGAGGTGCTGCTGGGTAACACAGGTGTCCCTGAGGAGAGTGTGATGAGACGAGTTCCTCCAGTGCTGGAAAAACGGTAACTGGATTCAGCTCCTGCTTTGAAAAGAAACCAAGGTTGCTGAAGTGAAGAGCGTGGCTGTGTAATGCTCACAGGCTCAGTGAGCAGAGAGAAAGCCCAATGAGCAAGTCCCCTTTTCCTCCTCCAGACTTGCAATCTCCCTCTAGTGCCCTCTAATGGTAGAGCTGGCAAAAAAGAAATGTAGTTGCAGAGCCCCAGTCCCTGCATCACACAGCGTCATAGACAGGTACTTTAGAGCTGAAAGACAATATAGCACATGTACTTGCAAAGCTTATACAGCATATGTGTTATACAGCTTATACAGCACATGTAGTTGCTTAGAAAATTATTAATATTTAATTAAGATCATCCAGTTTTTGAATGTTAAATTATAAATCATCTCACAGAGTTTCTCTATTTTAGAAACACTCAGCTACTGGAAAATTAACTACTTAGCTCAAGATCATAAAACAAATATATGGAAGATCCAAATCTAGGTTAACAGACTTAGTCATTTGCTGTCTTCTGTCATTTTAGATCTTATTCCCTCAGTTGCTGAGTGTCATGTCTCCTTTGGACTGTTAATTTTTCACTGACGTGCATCATTATATTACGCCCTTTGTACCTTGAATGTCCATTTGTCAAATAGAGTTTCAACAAATATTTGTAAGTGATTTTCACTTAATAAATCTATTCAATCCTAGTTTAAATTTGTTTTTATCATCTTATTTTTTTAATGAAGCTTTTATTTTGGAATAATTTTAGATTTGCAGAGAAGTTGCAAAGATAGTCCAGAGAGTTCCTATATACCCCTCACCCAGTTTTAGTTTCAGTTTCCTCTAATGTTATCATCTTATGTTTCCAAAACTGAGAAATCGACACTGGTATGTAATTATTAACTAAACGCTAGACTTTAATTAGATTTCACCAGTTTTTCCATTCTGTTCTTTTTCTGTTTCAGAGTGGATCCAGGATACCACATTACATTATTTATTATGTCTCCTTAGTCTCCTATGGTTTGTGAGTTTCCCCGTCTTACCTTGTTTGTCATGGCGGTGATGGCTATGAGGAGTATTGGTCAGGCATTTTCTAAAATGTCTCTCGATTTGGCTTTGTTGAGTTTTTCCTCATAATTAGACTGGCATTCTGGGTTTTTGTAATGAATACCACAGAGGTGAAGTGGCTATTTTTTTGTTCCACTTATCAGGAGTACATAATATTCACATGTCATTGTAAATGATGTTAAATTTGGTCAGTTGTTTTATTATCTGATCCTAACAAAAGAGACGGGACTTATTAGATGCTACTTCTGCCATTTGCATTCTTTCTTCCTACTTGAGTACTCGATCCCTTACCCCAAGTTATCTATGGGCTTGACGATGGTTTGTTATGATTTTTGCGTATGTAATATATATTTCTTGGGAGTCTAAGCAGGAGTTAATTTCAACCCCATCCCGCCTTGGCTGGACTATAAAGGCAAGCTGTGTACACAATTGCTTATGTCCTCTTCCCTTATTCCTTCTTTGATTCAGTTTCTTTTTGCTTCTATCCATACAGAATTCTTGATCGCTCTCTTTTTGAGTTTCCAGATATTATGCCTTTAGAATGGATATTTGTATCTCAAACCTCTGTCCATCATCTGTTTTCCTCAGAATTTCTCATTGGAATGTTTTTTGTAGTGTAATTGCCTTAGCCAGTTCCTGGTGCCCCAACATTTTATCCAAACTCTCTAGTCTAATTCTACTTGAGTGAGCATTTAAATATTTTGCCATGAATCTTTGACGCGTAACTGTGACCACAGCAACACAGGTGAATTAATGACCCTCAGCTGTACCCTCAGCTGGGGTTCAAGGCAGTGCAGAGGAAAATTGTCTTTTTCCTCCCGGATATTTTTCTAGGGCTGGAGCTTACTCCCTATTTAGATCATCCATTTGCTTTATTGGTATTATTTTTTCTATGCCATAAAGAGTGATTAATAAAATAGCGATTTCTAGTTCAAAAGTCACTGCTTCTTAAGGCATCAAGAGACATGATCATGGGCACGCCTCAACTTTAGGGAGACAAATATTACGGTGGTCGTTCTAGTGCTGATTTTAGCACAGGGAAAGATTCCAAATGTGAAATAACTATGGTTTAAGCACTGATCCATCAGAGCAGATGCTTACCACAGAGTTGGAGCAGGGTCCTGCAGACCCCCGCTTTCATAGGCATTAACTTTTACTAGCTGATTCATAAAGAATTCTGGAGAAAGAACTTGGGTGTCAAGTGGAACCTCAAGGGACTTGTGACAGTGGCTATATTCTAACCAGTGTGCACATAGTTTAGAATTTGAACAACCAGTTTTATCACATGCTGTGTGTGTTCCAGCTGAATATTCACATTATTGGGATAGGGAGTCGAAGTTGAAGAGTAATCCAATACTTGTACAGTCATATGCGGTGGCCCTGAAAAACTTGGAGAAAATCTGAATGTCAGCCCTTAAGTGATCAGACAGGAAAAAAGTAGTGCATACCCACTATGGATTACTATGAAGCACATGGAAATAATAGACTAGCTGTACAGGTAGCAACATGGGATAATTGAAAAAAAAAGAATAGAAATGATATGTTAATAATATTTTATGTGTATATGCACACAAAATAATATACATGTTTTATGTTAAAACATACAACACCAGGATACATTTTAAAAACACTAGAATGATTGTCTCTGAGGGAAAGAAACAGGAAATGGAGACTGGAGATTAAAGGAAATAAACCAGTAAATAAGAGAGAGGCCCTCTGTAAACCAATACAGATAATGTACCGTGGACTGAGGAATATGGTCACCTCGGGCTTCTGCACCTGAGGCTACAAATGACAGAGGCAAACAAATCCTGTTACTCCCTCTCAATGTTTTGAAGTGAACCTCCTTATTCATATTATTTCTACCTCCAAATGATAGGCACAGTAAGGGACAATGGAATTATTTCAATGGATTCTTTTGTTAAGTTCAACAAATAAATATTAGGCCCCCTTGATTGCAGGAAACTATCCAAGTTGTTTTGGAAGAAATAAATATAAGTCAAACAAAGTCTGTATCTTCAAAGTACTTAATACAATGTGGTAGATTTATTATTTATAAAAGTCACATTATAAGCTATTTTTTAAATTAATTTTTTGTAGCTTATTCTTTCACCTGCTTAGTTTATTTATGTGTAGTGAAAACTGATGTTTATAAAGCTCTTCCATAAAATTGATATGAATCTCTTAGAAAGTGAATATCAAATTATCCAGGATGGGGCCAGCCCCAGGGCCCAGTGGTTAAGTTCACTTGCTCCGCTTCAGCAGCCCAGGGTTTCACCGGTTCAGATCCTGGGCGGGGACCTAGCACCGTTCATGAAGCCATGATGAGGTGGCATCCCACATGGCAAAACTGAAAGGGTCCACAACCAGAATATACGACCATGTTCTGGGGGGTTTGGGGGAGAAGAAACATTACCCAGGCATGCTTTCATTCATCATGATACAGTTTAACTAGGCAAAGAAAATGACAAATAGGGTTGTTCTTAAAGATTCCAGTGTCATTCCTCCATCCTGTACTCATTATCAACATTTTCTCCTTGTTGCTTCGATCATAATGAATATATTTTTAGAAGACAATTTGCTTGACCAATTCACTTTAGTTTTACAGTCCTCCATCACTATAGCATTTATTTGGTCACTATCCTCCAGGGTAATTAATTAGTTACTTTTTCTCTTTATAGACATATATACCTCTGTGTGCTTAGCTGTGAATAGGTACAAGGGAAGGCTGGGGTAAGTTGACAACAGGAGGAAGATATTAAACTAGATAAACCTTAGCGACAAGGAGAACACACATAATGATTTGCTTTTTGTATATATCAATTAAGCTTCATCCTGGAGGCAGGAGGAAACAGGTTGTCGTGGTGAGATCATGAGCACACAGGAGAATAAACATGTGTGGTTGTGGATATGGAGAACAAGCATTAACCTTAATTTTTAACTAGAACGTGGAAATGACTTGGAGAGCCAAAGGTGCAACTGTAGATACTTTGCAGAGTCTGGAGTCCACACTGCGGTCAAGACTAGGAAGCAGATTGAGTTGTCAACTGTACCTAGGGATTTTTGGGGAAATTTATTAGCACTAAAAGTAAAGACAAATATATGTACTGTCCTCATAACAAGCTTGCTGTCAGCTTTACTTCCATGTTTAGAGAACTAAGATATAAAGAGGAGAAAGTACGTTAGGTACTAGTGATAAGTGAAGTTTTAAAAAATAAAACCCTTAATTACATAGAATAAAGATGGAGAAAGGATGATTGAAAACTTGCTTCAAAGAAAAATCTCTAGGGATCGAACTCACCATAAACGAAAATAACATAATGTCAGTTAAAATTAGGTGATGGAAGAATGAA